TCCACTGGATTTTTATTTTTTTTTTAAGAAATACATCAGTTGGCCACAGCTTGTAGAAACCTTTTGGCTTTGCGAGATCTCATGTGGGAGCTGCATGCGCTCTGGCTGGTGCCCATCAAATTCAGAGGGCTGCTGAGAGTTGTTCTGTGGAAGAGTTGCAGAGCTGGAAGACACCAGCTGCATGGCAGCAGCTCTCTTACCACCTCTTTAAACCTCTTCTGGCTGCAATGTCATTAAGGGATGAGCACAAACAACTGTAGCTGCCCGAACTCAAGGAACTTCTTCTCTTGCAGTTGTTATTAATTACGTGTGGGCAGTGTGCCTGGGGAGTGGCTGCTGTACCAGGTACAGAGCTCAGCCCTTCCTTGATGGATGCTCTTCATAAGTCCTGCCTTGCCATGGGGGGGGGCTCTGCAGAAATCTCATTTGAACATGCTTGGGGAGCCCAAGCGGCTGCGGTAGGCTGAAGCACAGTGTTGGGGCTGTTACTGGCCCTGTTGTTGCTGCGCTGAGACTTCAGGCAAGTCCTGTCACTGCTCTGTGCCCGAATTGTCCCTCTGAGCACATCTCTATCTCTCCGTCTCCTTACATTGGCAAACATTTGAGCTGTAGCTACAGTTACAACAAAGCTTTCCAAGCCTTGCTCCAGGATGATGAGGTGATGCCCCGCTGCCGGCACAGTCTGTGTGTGTGCTGCGGTGAGCGTGGAGGAGGAAGGCTCCTGCCCTGCTTCCCCGGGGCAGTTGCCTGGCACCAGGCTTCTGCTTGGGCTGGGGGGTCAGCAAGAGCCCTGCCTGCATCTGGTGGGCTCTGGGCACCAAGAGCACACCCTAGGTCGTGGTCCTCTGCCCGGCTGACAAGGCATCTGCCGTGGGGAGCAAGCCTTCAGGGCTTCTGCTTGTCTCCTGACTCGGGCACCCAGAAAACTTCTCTTTTCTTTTGGAGGAAAGCTGAGATTCCTACAACAGCTTGCAAGAGCAAAGCCTTAAAGGAAAAGGAGAAGTGCCACCTTGCTCATGGTAAAACGCAATCAGATCACTTAGTCTTCATCTCATGCCCTGGGTTCTCCATGTGGGAAGCAGCAGCTTCTGTTCACGGGGATGATAAGGGACCGCTCCCTGCATGTTGCTTTTTTTTTTCCCCCCCCTATGGCAAGCACACCCCAAAAGGCAGGACCATAACAAAAAGAATAAATAAACCTGAAGGTCATTGTGTGTAACAGCAACCATGGTAGGGGTAAAGAAGCCCCAAGACTGTGGGTAAGGAGGGCACGTATTCGGCATGCTGAGCTGCCCTTTGGGACATCACAGCTGAAGTGCTGGGTCTGAACAGCCCCTTGGGGCGCTCTCAGGGAGATGCCAGGGGATTCCCAGTTGCATCTGGGGATGCTCCTAACCAAATCCCTGCCTAGCTTCAAAAGACATCTGCGTGTCTGTAGTATAGCCTGAGTCTTGCTTTCATTGTGGAGGGCCTTGCTGAGAGTAAATGTTCCCCTTAAAGCTGATGTGCCCTAATATAGAGGAGCAATGGGTCTCTGGCAAGTGCCCTGGGGCGTGTGGGACCTGGCCGTGCAGCGCCCATTAACCTTAACGGGTGACACAGCTCCAGGGCTGAGCAGAGCCCTCCAGCAGCACCAGAGCAGGGACCTTATTTTGTCTCCACAGAGACGCAGGGCACCCAAACATGTGGGGATGCACGAATGCACGGCCAGAACTGGTGCTGCAATCCCGAGAAAGGGAACCAGCAAGGAAGCAGCCTCGTATCGCTCAGAAATGCAAAGTCATCAGGAAAGAGAGAAGGAGGCTGCCCAAATCGCTGGGTCTTTCCAGGGCATTTCTTGTCTTCTTTGGTACTTTGGGGGGATTGCCTAAAAGGGAAAGAAGTTGTTTTGCTGTAATGAACTAGATAAACAATTCCCCAAATAGATTAAAACTAACTGTAACTTATAAAAGTGGGTAGTAATTATATTTTATTAGCTAGCAAAACACCATTTTTTTATTTCGTAGGATAATTCTGTGTAAATCACCTTAATTAGAAGTGTCAGACGAGCCCGTGAATATCGTACTTAGTAACTAATTTCCTATGTGCAGGTTATAATTTAAAACACATGGATCACTCGCCGGGTGGAAATATGCTAGCCATGAAATAATGTGGGGAGTGTTGGGGTTATTACTATGTAAATGTGTAATCATTTCAGACCACTGCAGCCTGGCTGGGTGATTAAAGAGAATCCCAAGGTCTCCAAAGATTGTGCTCTCTGCGAGGGCCTAGAGCGAAAAAACTTTAAAAGGCACCGAAAAGTGTTTGAACTTTAAAGGTCTTGATTTCCCTTTTACCATTTTTAATTTGTCTGCGGTGTTTATGGAGGGGAAGGTTTCTCTTTGCTGATGGCCTTTCAATTCTCAGCCCACTGCCGGCATCCTTAAGAGGCGCGGGGGGCTGCAGCCGCTGTAAATCAGGGGGTTGGTTAGCGGCATGAAGGAAAGCACCCTTAAATTGCAGGGTCTTGCGACTTGGATGACCAGGGCTTGTGCCCATTCCTGACCCATCTCTGGAAATAAATAAAAACAAATTGCAAACTCTTATTAGCAATACAGTGGGGCTAAATCGCAAGGAGCGTGGTGGTTCTTAATAATCCTCCAAATGAAGAATAAAATAACTTGGCAGAGTTTATCTAAATCAGTTTCCTTCCCCGTCAGTCCCAACGGCAGAAGCTTGGCCTTTCGGCTGACCAGAGAGACTCTCATCCTGAAAACTGCATTTTCCTGGCGCTAACACCATTTCTGCAAGGAATTAATGAGATTCTTACTCTTTCCCTCAAAAAGGAATAATTTTAAACACCTTTAACAAGAAAAGGGAGGAAATGATTTGGTTTTTTTAACCTGGTGTTTGGATTATAAAAGAAAAAAAAGTTGTTTCACACTTCGGGTGATTGAGAAATTCAAGGTAGCGCTGGAGGTGGGGAGGGGGTGGAAATCCTTCCCATCACACGCGTTCGGGCGCAGGCTGGAGGTGGTGCCAGGGCTGTATCTCCGGGAGCAGCGGGGACTGACTCTGCTCCCCGCCGCCTCCCGAGAGCAGGGGAGACAGACCTGGGACACGGGGCATGGGGGGCATCCTGCACCCCCCAGCAAGCATCCGGCAGCGTAGCGCTGGAGTGGGGAGGGGGTGGAAATCCTTCCCATCACACGCGTTCGGGCGCAGGCTGGAGGTGGTACCAGGGCTGTATCTCTGGGAGCAGCGGGGGCTGACTCTGCTCCCCGCCGCCTCCCGAGAGCAGGGGAGACAGACCTGGGACACGGGGCATGGGGGGCATCCTGCACCCCCCAGCAAGCATCCGGCAGCGCGTCCCCTCAGGGAAGGGGGGCTGCGAGGGAGGCGATGCCCTAGCCCATTGACCGGTGGTCCCCCGGGAACCACAGCCACTTGCTCCAGGAGCGGAGCTGCGACATTTGGGGTGACCTGATGGCAATGGATAACTGCATGTTTCCCCCTGTTTCAGGGTGGGGGGCGAGGGCGGTGGCACTGGGAGAGGAGGGGGACCATAGCCCCGGGAGAAAACACCTTCTTCCATCCCTGCTCATTTCATAACACCCAGCCATCTGCCAAATCAAGGCAGATTAAAGCCAGCCAAATTCAATTTCTCCCCGCTGCCACTGCAGCTCGGCATCTGGGGCTAAAGTGTCCCCGACAAAGCGAACATGACAGGCACATTGCTTTTTTGTCACATCTAGTACCGTGTTGATCTTCTAAAAGTCTCATAAAAATTTATTGATGTCTCCCATATTGCTGTGATTGAGAAGAAAGGGGCGCGGGTGTGTGGAGCCGGGTGCGCGCGCGCGGGCGAGCATGTGTGCGTGTGTATATTAATGTTTCTGAAGTAGATCTGATTTGATATGTCTTGTTCTATTGTCAGCATCTGTTTAGCGAGGCTTTTTAATACTTTCTGGCTGCCGATCACTCATCCTTAGCCTGGGATGCAGGCTTGCATACAAATTTTGTTATTAAACACAATTCCATTCCTCCTCCTTCCCCAACCTCCGCCTCCCCCGGCTAACCTCCCCCCTCCACCCACCCATCCATCATCTCCCCGGGGCTATGGGGATCTGGGAGCCAGCCACCCCACCGGCGTGCACTTACAAGCACAGGCACTGGGCTTGGCAACATATTTCAAGAGCCTTTTGCCTGCTGCAGGTGCTTTGCATTGACAAATCGAATCATGGGGAAATAATTTATTTCCTAATGCTGTTTGCAGCATGTTAGCGGGAGAATTTACATGAGAGAGATTACTTTAATAACCAAAAAATTACAGTGCAGGCCTCCCCGCCATGTTGGCTTTGATATGTAATTGTTTCAAGTTTAACCTGTCTGGAGGGGGGAAGGTGTTATTAAATCTATAGCATCTCCCGCTGGTGAGGGCAGGCGAGGAGGAGCACCGTGGCAGGGACCTCCTTCCCTGCTAAATGGGGAACAAGCTGAATTAACAAATCACTCCAGCCTCCGGCAGAGCTGCTGCCTCCAAGGTGGAGCTGGAGCAGAGGGGATCTTCTTTCCCTTGCTCTTACGCCGATTTAATCACGTCTCTTTCCTTCCCTCCTTTTTTTTATTGTGCCTGAACCTACGCAGGGCCCACCACCTCTATGCCCCTCTCCTTGGCTTTCTTCCCAGCAACCCTGCAGGCTTGCTCTCCGCTTTTCCCCAGGGCTGGGAGAGGAGCTGTGCAATCCCCCGAGGAGGGGGACAATCAGGATTTGACTCTGCATCGTGTGTCTGGGTTTGGGGGGGTTCCACTCGTAGGACCATTTTATTCCAGCTGGAGAAATAGTTGGCGCTGCCCTCCTTTCCGTGCCCCTCTGGTCAGGGTGAGGAGGCTCTCGCTGGTCCGGGGAAGGGGAGCCATGCACTTTGCTATTTGACCTCGTGAGATCCCTCAAAGCGCTCCCCCCTTGCCCACTGCAGCGGTTTTGTGACTCTGACCCCATTCTCTTCTCTCTTGGCAGCAAGAGCTCCATCCTGAAGGATGCCATGGCAGCAGGCACCCCCAAGGTAAGTGGGCACAACTCGGCACACTTTTCCCCCCCCAAGGGATGCTCTTTACACCCCATTGCCTTCACAGCCCGCTCCCTGTCCTGCTACTCGGCGTCCCCCAGGAAGGTGGCCGTGCTTTGGGGGCCAGCCAGCATTCGGGGATGCTCCTGTCCCCATACACCCGCTGGGCTGGAGCGGTCAAGTCCCCACAGGGGCTCTCTTGTTCCCCGTGCAGCCGAGGGATAGTGGAGCTGAAGGACCCGGCGGGCTGCAGGACTCCAGATTGTGTCTAATGACAGCTAATGAGAGCTGATCACACGCAGGCTGAGCTCAGCCTGGGAAATCATGTGCGGGAGTTCCTGGAGCCAGAGCCATATGCCAGCTTTGGAAGAGGGGAGTGGGAATGCCTCAGGGGGAGTGAAGCACACCCGAGAAGGAGCCCAAATCACTAAAAGATCCCGTCTCAGCTGCATCCCCCTCCCCAGGACCCACCTCCCATCCCCTTGGCTCAGAATGCAAAAATACAAAATGCACAGAGCATCATGGCATCACTGCAAAGGGCGTCATTTACTAATTAGCATTGCTGTTAGCTGGACTTCATATGATACGGCAGTGGGAAGGACCAGAGATTGGGCAGGCAAGTGGGTGGCAGGGAGCACTGCAGGGAAGCAGGGCATTGCACGGCCTCTGAAAACCACGCTGTGCTCCCCAAGGCAGGCAAAGGCAAGTGGTCCAGGCTCTCCTACGCTTCTGGTGACACAGTCCAAGCCAGGGAGGCTCCTGGCTTCCAGGGAGGTGCAGGGCATCTCTCCCAGGAGAAGTCTTCATGCTTGTTTTAATAGAATCGACTTCAGGTCTCACTCTTCCTTTTTCTTCTGGAAGCTTTGGGTTGTTTTTGGCATGTGATGTCAGAAATGGAGACTCTAGGTTTTCCCCTTCGGGCTGGGTGTCTTGCCAAGCACATAAACACCTTGTCTGCTCCACCAAGCGAGGGGCTGGGGAGCCACCGTGCTGACTCAAGTTGCCGGCAGGCAGGGACACCTCCCAGGTCAACCCAACAATTTCCCAAGCCCCACAAGGGAAAATAAAGATCGTGGTGATACTCCATAATGCTCCACACCTTTGGCATTCCCATCTCCTGTGTGACTATCCTTGTCTCCTGTGCCCTGTCCCAGGGGAGACCGGGAGGAGACCGGAGACCTGACTATTTCTCCCTTGAAAAACAAGCAGAGCAGAAAGCAATCCCCAAACCCACCCACCGTTAATAATCCACGGAGCGTGAGGCTGCCTTGGGATGTCTCGAAGGAGCTGGAAAGGGCACCCGCAAAATGAAAGCAGCTGGACTGTGCAAGCTTCCCTTTCCCTCCTCATCAGGTCTGAGTGTAGATAACTCAGCGGTCCCAAACACATCGCCTGCGAGGGACAAGGACGGCTAGGAAGACAGATTAGCTGTTTGGAGGGAAATGCAGCAAGTGACTGACAGAGACCAGATAAAGAAGAAGGTCCATCTCACGGCAGGGCCGGGCTTTTGAAGTTTCCATTGACAAAGAATCCCATTTGCCTTGAGCGAGGGGATTAAACTGGGACTGGAGCGTCGTTCTATGTAAAAGAGATCAATCGTCCCCTGTCACCACATGGATCTTTTCCCTTTGCCCGTCACGTCTGGGACTAAGAACATTAACTTCAAGAAGCCAGGAGAGCAGGGAGGGAGAGGGTGAAATCAGGAAATCTTTCATTCCCTTCTCAGAGAGCTTGAAAGCCTCTCAGCCCAGGAGGATTCATTATTTCTAGGTGGCTTTTGCTGGGAGACAAGTCCTGTGTGGCATGGGAAGGCACACGCTGTCACCTTCACCTGAGCTTGGTATTAAAGGCTCCTTTGTAACTGCATGGGATTGAGGAGGAGGGTGGTGGGGAGATGAAGGCTGCTCTTTCCCTTTGTGGCTACTGAGCGTCTGCAACATGGGGTAGGAATAGCCCATCAGGATGTGAAGTCCCTCTGAGAAAGTCCTGCTGGGGACAAAGCTGGGCCTCTGGGCCACCCTTAACAGGGGTCCCAGGAGGAGGGATGGGGGACAGACCCCTGGGTGGGCTTGCAGCCCATACCCAGGCACCCAGGCATCGCTGGAGGTCTGGCAGGCACTGCCTGGGAAGAGACGGGACCTGTGCCGCTTTCCATCCTGGGCACCGGTGGAAGGAGTCACGGGGACTGCGGGGACTGCCGCGAGGTTTCCTGGCCGGTCCTTCTCCCAGTGCCAACAACAGGGCCGGCAGCTCCAGCAGCTCAGCAGTGGGAAAAAGGGGCTGCACCTCCCCATCCCTCAGGAGCATCCCCTGGCAGCACGGGCAGGGGCAGGCTGGTTCCACTCAGGGACATGGGAACTAGAGTGGGTGCAGGCTGGTGTTACCAAAGGTGTTACCTTTGTGGTCACTGGTGGCTTTAAGTCCACTTTAGGACTCATTTAGGGCCTTTGCATATACTATCATGGGCTGTCGCTGCTTCTGTGCTGGCTTAAGGCTCTTCCTGGGGTGCAGCTCTGGGGGCAGGGGATTTAACTTCCCCCATGCTCTGTCTCCTGGCTCTGCTCCCATCCCTTCCCTGCCGTTGCCCCGGCAAACATCTCTCCTGGCAATAAAAGCCCAGATGTAAACGCATATTCCTTGCTCACCGCTTTCCTGCCCCTGAAGAGCTGTCACTCACTGCATTGGGTCAATTTTCATGGCAATATGTCAAAGAAAATCCAATCACTCAACATGGGATGTGATGAATGCAGGATTATTGTATCAGGTTCTTCTATTATCGGAGCCGACGGAGGCAGTGATGGCCAAGCGAGGGCTGCGAGCTGGGGGGCTCTGGCCAACATGTCTGCCCGCTGCCTGGGCTCCCTCTCTGCGAAGGCAGCTCAGAGGGCAGCGCTGAGCACCAAATAGCTCCGCAGCATTCAGGATCCTCGTTTGCTTTCTGTTAGTGACCAAGCCCAATCGATGGTGGTATGCCAGTGTGGACAAGCCACTTGGACAAGGAGATGACAAACCTGTGTAGTGAGCCTCAGGATGAGATTTCTATCCAAGCCTGACTGCCATTTATTTAGGAAAGCTGGTGAGAGCAAGCTGGGCTCTGCCAGCCTCTGGCTGGAGAGAAGGGCCTGAGATAGCGGCTTGGTGTCTTCAGGAAGTCCCGTGGCCTGCGGACAGCGAGGGGAACAGTGCTGTCTCCTCCCAGCTGCAGTTCATGTCCCTGATTGCAAGCTTGGATGCTCACCCCATGGCTTGTGATAGCCTTTGGTGCCTTGATCTTCATGTTGCTGAGAGCCAGGTAGCCCACTGAGCCCCCACAGGTCAAGGTGACAGCTTGCTCTTGCTGGACTGTGCTTTGCAGAAGGCAGAGGTGCAAAAAGGTGCTGAAAGCCCACCTCCTTTGCAGAAAGCACACCCAGCGGCCCTGCTCTTGGAAAGGTTTTCCTCAGGCATTGGACTTCAAGGACAGTCCTGGACATCCGTAGCATCCTTCTCTGATGACACGTCTGAGACACCAGGAGGAAGAGGAGGGGTGGGAAAAGAAATCCTTCACCAAGGAGAAGTTTCCATGTTGGTGGGAACAGATGCTTCATGCCCATGGGAAGGGATTGAGGATGTCCTTGCTCTTGCTGAGCTAGAGACCATGGCTCCATGGTCCCGTTCACCGGTGTGGGCTGGGCGTTGCTCACTAACCTTTCACTGTTGTCCTGGGTCACCACAGGGAAACCCAACACCAGAGCCATTTAGGAGGGCACTTTCTGAAGGTGTGTCTGAGCCAGCCATGCCCCAGACCTCTGTGAGCCCAGAGCTTCCCTGCAGCACTCGCCAGCATGGCCAGAGGCCATGTTTCAGGCAGGCCAGGCATCAGGGATATCTTGCAGAGGTGTACGGACACCATGGGCTCTATCCAGGCTCGTGGCTACCCAGGAGTCTGTAGGTAGCTGTCAGCAGCACGCAGTTCCCCCAGGCATCATTCCTGGGTTTCACCCTTACCTTTCCCCTCTTGCCTTAGCTGCCTCTTGCAAGGGGTTGTGCAGGAGAGGAGCACATGTTGAGTTGAACCCATGTTGGTGAGGTGTATGAGCAGTCTAAATCCGACTGTTCCTGCTCTTCCTTGAGCAGCTGGCAGTAACTCTGAGAGTCATCATCCCCAGGTCCTTCTAGCTACCTAAGAGCACTTATTTGCCGCTGCCTGTCTGGCCTATGGCTCTCCCTCCATGGGCTATCATCTAGGTGGAATATCATCTCTGCCCAGAGAGATCTCAACCCCTAAATCTCAGGATATTAGCTGCAGACTGTTACCTGTCACCTAACAGCATCCACTGAACTTTCTTATACCCTCTCTGAAAGTGCTGGTACTGAACGCTGAAAGGGAAGAGGCTGGGCTCTGTGAAGCATCCCAGCTCTCGTGGCGGGTTCGGCATTCCCTTTCCACTGCTGCTTCCTAATACGTGACTGCAAATTGCCTTTCCCACTAAAGGTCCAGCCCGTGCACTGGCTCTTGCTGCAAAAACTGAAGCGAGCAGCCAGGAACAAAATCCATCTCCCACGCCCAGCAGATGCTTGCGGACGGTTTGTTTAGGTGTGCACCCAGCTCCTTGGAGGGTGCCTGCAGGCAGGTGGCCAGCACGCTGCTCCGAGACCTCCGACGGAGCTGGGAACCGAGCCACAGTGCCAGAGCCCTTTGATTCCCCCACCCACCCCCGTGATTTTACAGCTTCACTGAGCAGTTTGAGAGAGAATTACAGCACCTAGAGGGAAATTTGACCACTAAAGCCCTCCAAGGAAAAAGAGCTTTGAAACAAGCAAGATTTGGAGCCTTAAACCTTGACAGAATGTCTGTATTAAGCCCTTCCCAGCTGCCTCACTCGAGATGAAATTTCTAGCACAATCATTTAACTTCTCCGTATCATGTCTGGCAGTAGGAACGGGGGACGGGTGTTAGGGCCCTCGGGTTTTAACTCCTTCTCTTGTGTCACTGACTTTCTGGGGGGGTTTGGAGA